TAGATTGCATTCAAAAAGTAATATTTGAAAAGAACATAAATTACTTTTTATCCTAATCAATCGATAATGTCAAGGTAATGAAAGTGAAGTTTTCATAGAACTCATATAAAAAGAATTCATATTTTTTTTTTTTTAGTTGTAGTAGATATCTCCGTCAATCTAAGTGTTACTGCATAATCTATGGTTGCTGCAAGGATCCTGAAGTGTGAAGCAAATTGCGATGACCTACTAATCAGCAGCTACATTCTCGTCATTCGTTATAATTTACTTGCATTATATACCGTCATCTCTTCGTTTCATATATATTCAAAATATTGTAAAATTTATATAGTTCAGTTGTTCACATATTAAAATCATATCCAAAACAACAACAAATTCGTTATTACTGCAAATCCAGTAAAATAAACTTGAAACTACCCAATCGGCAAGAGCAAACCAACACACACATGCCCAAATACTAAGTCTGAAAATACTATGGAAATGGCAAATGACAAACTTCGCGAGAGTGAAACATTTATAAAAATGAAACGAAGTAATTTAATATCACACCCCAAGTTCTCGGTTCAGCAGTAAAGAGTGTTTTGAAAGTTCACGGTGATAACAATCTGCCTTGTAACATATTGGGGCGTGCTTTAATAAAACTTTCACACAGCATGACATTGTTGTTGATGCCCAGTTGTTTTACTGGGATTTAGACTTCATTTAAGATTAAGGAGGGATACTTAAATCTTTATAGTCTCTTCTGTTCATAACATTTTCTATCAAATAGTGACGTGTACTTTACAAAGTAAACAAGTTCATATTAAAAAAAAAAATACTGGAACCTCTGTACAACTCTTAATTCAGTTATTTTTTTTTTAACTACAGGAAAATTTAAGTTTAGTTTAGTTAAGTTTAGTTAAGTACCACACAATTTTCAAAACATTTATCTAAAAAGTAGTATGCAAGTTCCATATCTATAATTATAGTAGGTATATAAACATATCCAAATAGAGGTAATATCGTTGTGTTAATTTTACGAAAGTACCTATATCAAATACATTTTCATGTTATCTGTCCTTCTCAATAATTAAATTTAAATCAAAAACAAAAACATACCCTTACAGGGAAGCCGTGAGAGGAATTTATAAAACTTCGAGCCTAATTAACCCTTTACTAACTTTATTGATGACGGAAAACAAACTTTTTATATCAGGTATTGCTTAATGTCGGTAAAGAGAAAAATATTAAAATTCCAGGCTTCTGTTATCTTTATTTATCACTGTCGTAGATAAAGTACGTAGTAATAATTTTATTATTACAATTATTTGATGTTCTATTAAAAAGAAAAGAATTTATCAAGCAAGCTCCCCTTCTCTTGCGTTGATATTACTCAATGATGTTATTTATTTTATTTATTTATTTACGAATAACTTATTCACTTCACTTACAGTTTCCCAAAACGTAAGCCATGTAGGTAATGAACCATTATTTAGAACTAAACATATTTTCTTCTTTTTGCTGTTCTTCTTTTTGTCAGTCACTGACAATAGAATATTTATGTCTAATTAAAAATATACATTTTTATATTATGTTATTATTATTATGTTTATCACGTTGCTTTATGTTTTATCTTTATTACAGTATTCTTTATTGAAGTGATACTTTCCTATATAAGCATATTGAAAAACTGTAAATCATTCCTAGTTTAAATTAAATAAACGAATAATAGCTATAATGAAGAATATATATTCACAATTATCTTAATGGGGTATTGCGTCAAAGGCTTTTATCGACTATTATTATTAAGGTGGACCTAATACTTTACATACCCTTATTTTACTCAGTGTACCTATTTGAATCATTAATTTGGTTTGTTAACGGTGTTTTTTTATCACCGGAACAATTAAAAATATAAGCTTATAAGATTATACCGCCACGTTTAAATTTAGTAATACTGTATTTAGAATTAAAAAGAAGCATGTATCAGTGACTTTTTATTTATATCACGTTTCGTATATTAATTTAATACTAGTCATAAATAAATCTACATTGCTGCTGTGCTAAAATTCAAACCGTAATAGCGACATATATTACATATGAAGCCCACTGGCTTGCCATTACATCGCTTATAAATTCTGCGTCCAGTCACACTGTCTCCTTCCTTAATTAGGGCCCTGTTGTTACAAATGGGTCCCCTGTTGACAAGCCGGCATTGTACGCATCATTTGATTAAACGCTTTCCTTTGAATACCCCTGAATAAATCAAATTCCCTCAACAACTGCTCGTTTGTGAATTAAATTCTCATTATTCACCTGAAACTGGCCTAAAAGATATAACTTTGAAAAATTACCTCATAAAATGAAACCGTTTATGATGATATGGACTCTTCATTATTCAGTGTGAATGTCTCTCAAAAGACGCGCGACTAATTGAATATTTTGTTTAAGAAAGTCTACCAGAAAACGGTACATAAATTAAAAAAAATCGTTTACCTATGCAGTATATTCTTTTGTCAAGATATTTTCTCATTAATGTTAACAGTGTAAGAAAGAGTCAGAGTCTCAGATATTTTTTAATAATTTTTTAAATAAATACACTACTTATTTTATTACGCCGATAAAATTAAATGCTTAAGCCATCATCACAAGACATCATCATATTCATATTCTATAACAAAATACTTTATATTCCTAATCATTTTCTGTATATAAAAAAAAATTATGATTGGCTTTTAAAGAATTTATCCCAAAAAGGGTGAAATAGGGGATAAAAGTTTATGAGTTCTATTATAATTGAAGCAAGAATTATGAAACTTTAGCTTCGTTTTATTCTTCTTCGACTTCTGATTATAAATAAATAAAATATTTTTCAACGTTTTTGAAAATTTTATCCCTAAAGGGATGAAATTGGGGATGGAAAATTTGTTTAGGAATTCTATTACTTTTAAATTAGAAGTATGAAAATTTGTTTTTAAGGTTTTGTTTACGAGTGAAGACGCGGGCAAAAGCTAGTGTTCTCCATATCTTTTCTCTAAGGAATTATAATATTGAGTCCAATAAATTTTAACTGGATGCTTAAAAATTTGATTTGTCATTTATTATTTATAGTTGTCAATAGAAGTTATATTAATCCAATATTTTTTATTCAAAAGCCTACAAAATAATAAATGTAAAACCTTGACAATTTCAAGCACAATTGAGCTCCTAAACTACCTAATGCAAGTCAAATGTAATACAAGTTCGAAATATCCTCGTATCTGACCGTTATACATAGATAACCAATAATGTATTATGGATATCACAGATTATACTCTGCCACATTGAGGTGCCATGGAGGCTTAGAGTATTTCTGTCATACATACACATGCACATAAAAATACACCTATTCCCCGATTTACACGGTACTTGTTTTACACGTTTTCGCTTTTACACGGTTTTCCAAATAAGTTTATTTTTTTATCGCACTTTACTAAATGCTACTGTGTTTGAACACGTGCGCTGTGTACACATCTCACGGGGAATCCCGAGCTTATGTGCTGACTTGCTGCACATGCACACTATGTCTGTATTTCTTCGTATAAAATTAAAGTTTTATCTACGGAAAATTGTATGTGAGTGAAAGTTTCACAGTGTCAGAAAGATTTAATTTTTCATATTCGTAAATTACAAGTGAGTGCATAATTATGATTTTTATAAATTAACATAAATTAAAAAAAAATTATAGGCTTATAATGTCGAAAGAAGTTAAAAGAAAAGTTATTTCTTTAGAAACTAAAATCGAAATTTTGGATCGCTTACGAAAGGGAGATAGAGTAGTAGATGTTGCAAAATCATATAACATGAACGAAGCTACAATAAGAACTATTAGAATAATGAAAATTTTTATTTTTATTTCTGTGTACACCTAAAAATATTGAAAAAAATCACAACTGTTAAATAGCAAAATTATGCATTTTCTGCAAGCTTTTCGATTTACACGGTTTTGACTTGAAAATTTTTAATTTTCGATTTACACGTTTTTCTCAGGAACGTATCTACCGTGTAAATCGGGGGATAGGTGTACAAATTAATTTAAAAGTTGCTTAAAAATTGAAACGCAAAATATGTGTTCCGCATAAACCGACTTCACCTATGGCTAAACCACTTATTTTGATTTGTATAACTAAACTACTAAATCATTTTTGATAAAATTTCTATAGGACCAATCTGTAAACATATGCTTACAGATAAAAAAAATCTAAATCGGTTTTAAATGACGGAGTTATAAGGTAACAAACATAAAAAATACAATCAAATTGAGAATCTCCTACTATTTGAAGTCGGTTGAAAAATAAGTCTATAGCGGCCTTTGATTTAATCTACAAGCACGATTGCCATCGGTTATGATTTAAATTTACGAACCGGGCAAAATTGTTCGATAATGTTCTTGGGACTTCCATTTCATAGCGAAAATCGTAATACGTAGAATACTCATATGTATATACATATATAGAGATTGCCTTCTACAACTTATTTCGATACTTTTTTTATTAACGATCCGCCCCGGCTTCGCATGGGTAGATAGGTAAAAAGATAAATTAGATAAAACAAACAGCCCATACTCGCTTATAATGTGTAACTTTAAATTAATTCAACAATAATGCCATATTTCATGAAACTTAGTTGAACTGTTAAGGCACCAAGAGTTAACAAAATTATTTTCACATTTAAGTTTAATATTAGTTATGATTTATGAAAGAAAAAGTTCAATTTTATTATATAATTGGATAACAATATATATATACCCTAATTGAGTTAATCTCCAAACTCGCTCAATCGATTTGATTGAAATTTAATAAATATTTATTGTTTGATCCAATTTTAAAGATAATTTTTATCTCGATAAGAAAAATTAAACTAGTCGGTGAAGGTAGAGAGCAATACATTATATATTTATCGGCTCAGTAGCACGTTATATCTTATATTAAATTATAATATAATAAATATTGTATTTGTAAAACATTGATAACGATCAACAGGAAGAACTGGAATCGTCACTGCGTCTGGTGCATGCCGTCGCAACGGGAGCCACTGGGGCGCTCTGTGTCACGCAGCGGTATGGGCGTCTGCTGGCTCCTTTGCACGCCGCTCGGTGGGACTCGGCGAGGGCACGGGCCGATCTCGCTGCCAACCTGCTGCATCAACTCGGTCTCGAAACTGCTGGTTGGTATAAAAAAACGTTAATTGCGTGACAGAAACTTAATTAGACTATGGATAAATAAATGAGTATATTTTATTTGGACTACAAGGGATAAATGTTCAACGAAGGCATCTTAGAAACTCTTTATATCAATGAGTAGTCTGCTCACAGTAAATAGTTGTTAAACAATGTTAGGCTGTGCTCCGGCGATCCCAAGATCGAATCCTAGCATTGAACTTGGAATTTTTCTATATCTTATTTGAATCATATGAAAAATGATTGCCACTTGCTTCCAATAAGTCAAGTGAATAGTGTTTATTTACTCTTACCATCACACAAATAGTAACTGTGATATTGTATGCGAGTTATTGATTACGCTGTAGCCCATAATTTAAAAAAAAGGGGTTCTGGGCAGCTTTTTACGCAACATGCAATGGCAAACAAACTAACGACTTATTTGATGGAAAATAAGAATTATAACATATAGACATAAACAGCCCCATGGATATCACAGAACACACTATAATGCCCTTGGTATATGCCCTCACCATGTTTCAATCTTTTACTACTCATCTCGACGATCTTTGTTTCCTTAAAAAAACAAACAGCATACACACGAATGATACTACAATGAATAACTAGAAATAGAACGATCCAAAAAAAAAAATACGAAAATATCATTTCTTAAATTAAATTCTGTGAAGAATGAATTATTAGTTATTCTTTATTGCACAATAAAACTTTGTACAAATGGCGAGCTTAATGCCATATGGCATTCTCTACCAGTTAACCATTGAGTAAAAACAAAAAGCCTATGAAGGGCAGATGTAGTGAAAAATATGTGACAATTATAGTAACACATTAAGGCAATACATAAGAAATTTTAAGTATCATCTATGTGTTTAAGTTGACATATGACATACATTTAGGATCCGCAACGCGTACGTGACATCCCTGATGTTACAGGTGTCCATAGGCTACGGTAACCCCGTTTACCATCAGACGGGCCGTACGCTTGTTTGCTACCATAGTAGTATAAAAAATTATCCATGAAAATATCCATTACCAACAATAATATTTGATACATTAAACTTTGTATTTCAGAGATACTTATGGCAGTATCACAAGGTCTGGTGCTGGGAGCGAGTCCAGCTGAACGCGCAGTGGGAGCACGGGCATTGGCGCTGCGTTCCGATGGTGTAGTGAATAGCGCAGTAGCATGGGAAAGATATGGCACAGCAGACCCAGTAGCTGTAGTATCACCACAGCTGGAGAAACCACCTGATCCTGAATATCCATGGTTAGAATCTTTACCAGACAACATTGTTTTCCAATGTCGTCAATAGTTTTATATCTTCTGGAGAGCTTCCAAAACAATTCAGTTTTAAGACATTGAAGCGTTTTTGGCAACCATAAAAGTAAGATTAAAAGTCTACAAATATGTAATAATTAAATATCCCTTTGAATATATGTCATTTGGGCATATAGAAAGGAAATATATGTAGCTACATACATAGATTAGGTATGAGACCAGTCACTCAGATCATTCAAATCAAATCAATTACATACCTACATATATAAGAACGATGATTCACAGTTCATTAGTCATTTTATGTACAATTGTAAATGTATAATATAATCTGTATTTCAGGTACGTTTCAGCACATAACAGCGACACACTCCGATCGTCAAAATTCATGCCTTCTCCACCTGGCGCAACTATGGAGGGATGGTGGACTTACCCGTACTACAGTTGCGAGGCAAAAAGATGGTTGCTATCATATACTGTACCAGTTGCTACGATACGCGGGTAATTGCAAATTTTTATTTTGCTTCTCATTTGAAATTTCGAAATTATTTAACAGACTAAATGAATTTTATTCACTCATTCAATCAATATTTTATGCAGTCTAGTTTTACTACTATTACTATTGGATAATAATTAATTTAATTATTTGATTAATTTAAATATTTAATTTAACTAATTAATTTTAATTAATTACTAGCTAATTAGCTAATTAGGACGAATTCGTCCTTGATTTATTTACATTAATTTAACAGAAATTGTAAAATACTTGTCTAGGTATTGTTCCATTTCTATTTCTACCGTGAAGTAGCTGTGCTTACATGGTTGTATTTCAGTTTAAAGGTTGTGTGTTTGAAAACAAATACCAAGTTAACGCGTCTAATTTTTATAACGGATTGTGTTCTGTGGAATTGTTTGAAATGAACCCACAGCCACCTTTTATAATCGTACCGCTCGCCATCGACAAGGAATTTATCCTTACACCCTTGAACCTAAATAGTCACGTACAGTGCGGTTTCAAAGGAATTTTCTTCGCGATCACTGAGGCTATCGAATGAGCTCCCTGACCAACTTTTCCCTACAGACTACAGTATGAGGTTCTTCAAAAAAAAGTATATTAAGGTTTCTTTAGGGTCGGCAACTCGCACGTGACATCCCTAGTGTTGCAGGCATTTATAGGTTACAGCTAAGGGTTGCAGTGACCGTTCATTTTTGTCGTATAAAAGAAACATAAGCACATCACTATAGTTCTCAGAATGGCAACACATGAGTACATAATATTCTGCGATATCAATTATGCTGTTTGCCATTCCAAGTAGTATAAAAATACTAATCCTTTTATATATTAATCGACTAACAGCATTTTGAAAGGATAAAATATCGTGTAATACAAAAATTAATGGTCTGAGAACCTACGTTATACTTCTTTTGTAACCGAATAAAAATAAATTTATATACTAGATAATTAAATGAATAGGCTTTCCAGCATAAATAGAAACTAGCGGTATCTTACCTTAATGATACTAGGAACTTACTAGTTACTATTTTGTTTTTTTTTATTTTTCAGACTGAAAGGCGTTGTTTCGCTCGACATAGACATATCTAATTTGGAAATAAATCAATGCGAGGACGCGGAAGACGGAAACGATAACCAAATATACTCTTTTCACGGAACCCACAAGTGCCCTAATGAAACAACTTATGTAAGGCCTATTTGTTATAAAAATCCATGATGTGACGTAATTAAAGTAAATTAAACGTAATTTAAAATCCCATAAGGAAGGGGTAATAAGACGATATGAGGGTTTTTGAAATAGTTGAATATGTAATGACATCCTCGGTTATGCTATCGGTATACGCTGGTGAGGCTACAGTGAGAAATGATAGATGAGCATGAATACAAGTCAGTTAGCCCATCATGATGTATTCGAAGAATAAATCACGATAATTTTCAAGCGGAACCACGTGGAGGTCGTCCTAATAGACTATATTGCTACACACCATTATTAATAATTCCTTGCTCTTTGATATGAAGGGTAATAGTAGCATGTCCGTTACCACAGATTAGCTACAAATCATCATACTATCATTTTATGATGGCCATAGTACAGTTAAGGCAGTTCTGAAACGCGATATGCTCGGCTCCAACTGTAAAATTGCAATCAATATTCATTAGGTATGATTCATATAAAATCACTATTTAGGTCCCAATGTTTATAGGCGACGGTTAAAGTAGAGAAAAATGAAGTACATCCATCCGCTTGTTTGCAAATTGCATAAAAGCTTTTTTTAAATTCTATATTTAGGTTTTTCATGTATTTAAATTTAAGAAATAGACACTTAATCAGTTGTGTAAACAAACAGCTCGTTTATTAGCATGTATAACAAATTGCAGTGTGAATATAAACCAAATAGAGAGGTGGGCGTACGTCACTCAGGATGGGCGCGTGGGATGTACAACTGCCGATGTCGACCTGGATATTACTCTACAAATCACCCTGAAGGATTCAATGGATCCCTAGTTGAAGGTAAAAAAATACTTATTAGTATTATAAGGAGGTAAGTTGGTGTTGTGGGTGACCATGGGCGGCGGTAGTCACACCATCAGGTGAGCCGCATGCTCGTTTGCCCCGTGTTATAAAAAAAAACCTTTCAGATAAATACGAATAAAAATTATAATACCTAACCTAAATAAGTCCTGATTGAATTTCAGAAAATTACTCTAAGAAATTAATTCTTTTGAGTAAAAATAATATATGTGTACAAGGGCCCTCGATGGGCACTGCAAACTAAACAAGCATATGACCCAACTAGTATTATGCCCAAAACTTGTTTGCAGATTTTGTCATGTTATGAGGAAGACACACTTAATTTGTGGCTGTAGCACACTCATACATCAACGATATATCTCTTTTGAAAAAACACACTATATCCTGAGGAGATAAAAATATCGCTACAAGAAACATCTTTAAATTCTTATCATTAATAGGAATTAGCAGCGAACTTTAAAAAAGGGCGAGCAGAAAAGATCACGAAAAGGTCGCAGCGTTACAGGTTTTTCTGCCTAAAAAAGCCCGTCTCATAATAATAATAGATACCTTTCAGAAGCTTTCACATAAATATGAATAAAAACTTAAATACCAATATAAGATTTTTGAAGACGAAATCAATTTAGTAACCATAATTGATACATTTCTCACGACAATGACAAATTGTTTTATTGAATGTCTACCAATGTTCCGTTTCTCAAAAATTTGCTGCAATTGCGATAAATGACAAATGTGTAAATCCGCCATAAAGCTTCTGTATCATCGTCAAAGATGTCAATTTAATTTCATTCATTCAAATCAAATTGACTTTGATATATCGCTGACAGTTCAACACAATGTTATTGAAATTTTCTATTTCATTGTTTCAAATAGTTCTCAAAATTTTTTTTTAATTCAGATAAAATGTAACAAAGTAGGTATATTCTAAATTAAATTGTTCAATATTTATTAAGATTCTTACTTGTTATAAATATTCCGTTAAATAGGTATGAATAACCAATATAAAACTTATGCATTGATTAATAAATTATTGGTATTCTGTGCTCAAAAAATACATTATTAAATTGAATAATGTTTTCTATCTTACAAATATTTTGGTTTTGGGGCTACTCCCATTCTAGGGTAGGGATTCAGAATTGGACAATCACTGAATTTTATCATTAACAATCACAAAATACATGTAATTCCAGTTGCTTACCAAGAATATGAAAAAAATCGTTTAGAAAACTGGAACGAACCCTATGAATGTCTCAAATGTCAACCAGGTTGTGAAACATGCAGAGGTCCAGAGCCATGTCTTGCTACTTACAACTGGCCATTTCGGTGAGTTTTAAATTGTTATAGATAATATTATTATGTCTCCTTTTTATGTTATTTAATATTCTATCATTTAATATTTTTCACTAAAGGGTGGTATGCAAATGTTATGCTTAGGCTTTTTTAATGGATGAAAATGGAATGGTAACCCCCATCTGTGCTAACGTTATACACTGGTGGGGCACCAGTGAGGGATGACAGGTGAAAATGTAAAAGCAGGTCAGTTAGTCTATCATGATGAATACACCTGGGATTCAGCACAATGGTTTTTAGGGGGGCTACATGAAGATTGACCTGACAGGATATACAGTGGGGCAAGGCAATGAAATTACATGATACTGAGGCATAATACCATATTACTCCGAAATAACAATACAAGAGAAGTACCATGGGTGTCACAGGGTGGTGCATGTCTATATTGATGATTACCACTTTCCATCTGGTAATAGTTGCAATTAATATTCAATTCACTTGAAAGGCTTTACTGGAAGAAATCTCTTATTAGAAATAAGCTCGCCTTTGTACATTACATTTAAAATTAATTGTTCTTAACATTATGTTTGTGTACAATAAAGAATAAAGAATATTTTTAATACAAGTATTTACTTATTAAAATTTATAATAATATAAAAACAACCTAGTCTAGCTTATCATTCTTAAAGTGTAGTTTATATTACTATAACATTTTCTCCCTTTACTAAATCTATATTAGGTACTTCATAGGTTTCCTCAATAATATTGTAATCTCATGTTCTAGGATATCATTACTGGTGATCTCTGTGAGCTGTGCAGTGATGACAGTTTGCCTCACCATATACACGCGACATCACCGGCGTGTCAAGGTGTTTCGTGTTGCAAGTCCTGTTTTCCTCTCTATCACTCTCCTTGGATGTGCAATAATGTATATGGAGGTAAGTTAGGAACTATAAAATTATATAAATATATATAAAAATTATATTGAAATAATAAATTATAAAAACATTAATATAATACTTTATTATCTACAGATGGCTGCTATATTTCCAGTATTAGATAGATATTCATGTATTGCTACAAAATGGACACGTCATATGGGTTTTTGCATTACATATACTGCCTTGCTGATGAAAACTTGGAGGTATAAATCTTCTAGTGTTCTAAATTTGAAATGATTCTTAGTATTTTATTTATTTATTTAAATACACTTTTACATTCATTACACTTTTGCTAATATTTATATATTTTAATATAAATATTAGCAAACTTAAGTCAATGCGTCAAGTCTGTTATAATATTTTAGGGCCTCATTGTATCCATTTTGCATTTTAATAAATTTCAGATTTTATTACGTAAAATATTATTCTTATCCCATCCTAATCATATACTTTTATTATTCATAAAAAAAAAGTTAAGTACATAATAATTATGGTAATGTGAATTTGTTTGTTTAAATGTCATACTATATTTTGTAAAGTCCATGATATTGTATTATATATTGTCCATTAGTTATGTTACTATTTACTATCAGGTCTTGTCAACTTGTTTGTAAAGAAAAAAAAACAAAACATTGTTTATTTTTCAGGGTCTCACTAACATACCGTGTGAAATCTGCACATAAACTAAAGTTAACAGACAAACAACTCCTACAGTGGATGGCACCTATATTGCTCATAATGCTCGTATATCTTGGAACTTGGACACTATCTTCACCACCGGATGCTGAAGTGGTATGTACAAATTAAAACAGTAGTTTGTTTATGTGTTTGTAAATTGTTAATAAATATTACAATTAAACAATATTAAAATAATTTTGAACTGGGTTATATTTTTATTTATGTTTGTTACCTTATAACTCTGTCAGCTCTAAATTGATTTGGAAAATTCTTTTTTTGATCTGAAAGGATACTTATAGATTAGTCCCATAGAGATTTTATCAAAATCAATTTAGTAGTTTAGTGTTTAAATCAAAATAACTTGTTTTGTTTTATTAATTAAAGACAGTTTTTTTTTGTTGGACACAATTTTTATTTATGAGTTGTCTTTTTTATTGATATTTTTAATAAACAATCCTAGCCCTCTAGACAAATAGCAAACAGAAGGCAAGTTTAGCTTATTTTTATTAAATTTCATTACATTATTGATTATTATCATGTTTTATTTTTTAGTTTAAACTCATAAAAATAAAGTTAAAACATAAAATTATATCATTAAATATGACTCATATAGTAACCTTCACATACATGTAATGATTCAAAATATGATCTTTTAATAATGTAACATACTCTGTATTCCCTTTTATACACTGTGTAAAAAGATATGCTAGTTATTAAAATATGCTAAGTAAAAAAAAATTATTGCAATTAAATTTTAGTGCTGACAAGTATGTAATATTGAATAGTATATATGTATATCTATAAAAATAATTATTTATGTTACAGATAACTGACAATAGAGGACTAAAATTCAAACAGTGCACTTACAATTGGTGGGATCACAGTTTAGCAATTGGTAATGTATACATATTATCCAATTTATATATAAAAAAAAAATTACCAAAGGGAGACTGTAAAAAGTTATCTGGAATAATACAAAGTAATAGTTTTCATTCCTTATAGACATTATGAGATACTCATAGATAATTTAACTACAGTGCTAAAGAAGTATGAATACCATATGTGGTCCATTCGTGTTAGAGTAACACATTGTCAATGTCATTACTCATTTTCATTCCCAGAATATCGTAAAAGGCGACTATGGAAACAAAGCACAGTAATAGTGCTTGAGAAGTAATTTATTTAAATGTAATTTTGAATAGTAAACATATTTATGACCAATCTGATAGAGAGTGATAACTGTCACCTATAGAAATACATAGATAGCACTATAAACATTTTGTTCTTACTATTCGTGAGGATTGCTTCCATACATTAGCTTTGAAAGCAATGCTGCTTGGGGCAGAGGACTCTATACTGACTTTTATTCAAAGTTTGTCTGTGGTAAACACTCTCGGAATATATATTATAATTTATTTAAACATTTCTTTTTTAACTATGGTATATTTTGAAGGTGAAATTCTGTTCCTGTTATGGGGTGTCCGGGTTTGCTACCGCGTGCGCCACGCTGAGAGTCTGTACAACGAAGCGAGGCTCATCTCCATAGCTATATACAATATTTTCACTGTTAATTCATTGATGATAGCATTTCAGTGAGTATTGACACAATATATTTCTTTCATTTAATAACAACAAATGTTATAAATAGAACAATTAATTATTTATATAAAGGGAATAGACGAATTTGTATAGTCTGTAAGTATAAGCCTGCACTATATTTCATTATGACCTTTGCATACATTTGCTAAAAATTTGTGTGTTATAATTGTTCTATATAATTTTCCAGCTTACTTATCCTACCACGAGCTGGACCAGACATAAAATATCTGCTTGGCTTCATAAGAACACAGCTGTCTACGTCCACTACGGTTCTCCTCGTTTTCCTACCAAAGGTATATTAATGTTTAATTTTGTAGTTAATATGAAGTATTTTTTAAAGTACCTGATTTCACAGCCTGATTTTAATAATTTAATATCTTACTAATCAAACTTGCAGTTTGATGAGTAAGATGACACTACAAACTTAGTGGTGGCTTTATAAATAAATTATTTATAAATATTTGACCAGAGGTAGACTTTGTACAAAAGTACGTTTGCTTGGGTACCTCTGTTCCATTCGTGTTTCAACCGTAAAGCAATTGTGTTTGCATGGCTGTGTTTCGTTATGAAGGGTGGGATATGGCGTGAATTTACAGGGTATAGTGGAATAACACTTGAATCCTCAGGAATGGCAACGCATGGGCGAAACTGTATACTCTGTTATGTCCATGGTTACTGCTCATGTCTGTAGACGACGGTTACTACTTTCCATCAGGTGGGCCGTCAGCTTGTTTGCCATTCTAAGTTGTATAAAAAAAATTTAACAATCAAATATAGGTTTAATTAAGTTTAATATCTATGTTTGTTAATAATTTATTTTATTAAAATAATAAACCAAGAATATATCGTCAAAATTAGTATGAAATCAATATGGAAGTAGAAAATACTTTTAATTATGAAAAGAATCGTAAAAAATTTATTCACAATTTATGACGTGTATCATACAAAAAGTACAATTATATCGAGAAGTTAGATTTTGTCTTTTAAATTGATTGAAATAGTAAAAACCTATATATTTTTTAATAACTTAAATAGAATGAAACCGAAATTGTACACATACACATAATTCTGCAATACATACATCATCCTTGCAGGTGGTGCGAGTGGCGCGTGGTACCGGCGACACGTGGGACAGCAGGTCGCGGGCACGAGGCCTCCCTGCTGCCTCTTCACTCAACGGCGTCGGCCTCGTGCCTGACGAGCCGCCCGATCTCTATCAAGAGAATGAGGAGCTTAAGGTATATTTATACCATAGCTGTTTCTGTCACCATACTGTACCTCGCTTTGTATAAAATGATATTAGCTGTCACTGAGGAGTCACATAATCTCTTAATCAGGATGTATGTTTTTTATTAAAACAAAAACACTATTTTCTGTTTCACAGGAAGAAGTACAAAAGCTAGCAGCACAGATAGAGTTCATGAAAATAGTGCAAATGGAAATGCACAATAGACATCTACGACCACGGCCTGGTGGATACTTTACCGCGAATACCACTGGGGCAGGCGCCCCACAGAGTCCTATGCATCAAAAGACTGTTAGCATTGCGCAGGTAATCATTCATTGCTCCCTCTGCTAGCGGCCGTTTAGTAGTGCTTTTTAATAACATATACCAGAGAAATTGCAGGTGTGGTGTGTTGTCAGCCTTTTAGGAAGGAATAAGCTTTTTTTTAGAAACTATAAAATTCGGCTCTGATATAGGTAACATAGTTCCCAGCAACATAAGGATGTTCCAGAATTTGTAATGTATATATAAATGTATACTGCTTATAGTACAACAAATTTAGAGCAACTTTATTCTAGGTTTATGAATTGAATGATTTGAAATGAACACTCTCCATCTATTGGTTCGTTTCTAGTGAACATTTTTCGTCATACATAGCATTATAATTATTATCTATGGCCGTACATACAAAATTTGTTCCCAAAACTTTAGAAATACATTTCGTTCTGTTCATGTCATGGTCATGTTCTTCTGTTGATGACTATACCTTAAACACACTGCTAATGATCTTTAATAGATCTGAAGGCCTACAAAAGAAAAAAATACATTGGTGACGTTATAGTTATCGTTATTTTATTATTATAGGACAACACAGAATGGGCGGGGCCGGTGTGACTGGTAGCAGTAAGCGAGAGTGGTTGGTCGTGGCCGGGCCCCGCCGCCGAAAGAGTGCGGACTACCGTCGACCCTCGGCCCCCAACCTTTGTTTGACATTCGACATGCAATGCGATCGAAATAAGAATACGACTGACCTGCCGCCATATTGTGACGTTTTACTTGTCAAAATAAGTTAGACTTAGTGAAATAATAGAGAAAAAAATTATATATATGTAATTTTTATTTCGCAAACCAATGAAAACCGTGCTTTTCAAGTGAAAGTTGACAGGTTGAAGTCATTAACATTCCTATTCTTATTCAGATCGCACTTTATACTTATTGTTTCATATATACTTACTTCGTTAATACGTTTAGCATAATAATTTTGTGCGCTAGTCTCAATCAAGCTCGAATATTGTATGTTTATGAGGAAATAAACGTAAAGAGCAACATTTCAATACTAAGAGCGTTTACATCGACAGATTACTTATGTGTCGCAACGTCGGATAACTTAACAAATCTTATTGTATAAATTATATTTAAATTCACTAATCAAACTTTTTTAATAATGAGTCAGATATATTGAAGATAATACAATTTTTTTTTATTAACAGTTAATTCTGGTGTTAATACTCTTCGGTATAAAGGCTCTTAAAACAATTGCAAAAATCAATTTGGCATTCTATTTTGAAATTCAAAATTTTTAAGGATTTTTAATATTTGAATGGTTTACGTATTTCTAGAGGTTGAATAGTAGTGAAATACAAACAGATTTATTACAATATAAGCAAGTCTGTTGAGATTGTCCTCTCACACATTAACATAATTTTGATAGATATCAGTTTCATCTTATATTTGATAATGCTTCACTTACAAAGTTCCTATTTTTAATAGTTTAAAATTACTTTTTATCTTTTGCATTTAAACTTGTATAATATATATAACTGATGATGATGATAAATATATATAACTATACTATAAATAATATATATATATATATATATATATATAAAATATTTTTAGAGTTTGTGAAGCTTTATCTAGATGCTATTGTTAATTGAAGCATATTTATTTATTATTTAATTTAATTAAAGTGTATGTGAATATTGTAGATGCAGACACAGTATATATATGTATATATATAGCCGGAAAATAATAGCTTACCCTAAAGGCAAAAATGCCATTTTTAAAGTCATAGACAATATAATAACGAGGATTAATATATTGGCCCAATAAACGGGTATATTAAATAACGGGTAACCAATATACAATATCAAAATATAGCACTCAATCTATATTAATATAGATATCCGACCGGAATGGACGATATCAAAGTGGGTGATGACCTTTTTTCTGCCATCAATGGAACACAATATGTAGATATTGGTCTGGTACCGATATTGCCCATCCCTAATAATAACTATACATATTAATAAATTCGATGGACCTCGTGCAAAAGTATAAAATCAACAGAATCAATAACAGAAGTAACAAACTAGCTTTCGGAGAAAACATTTTAAGAAAATAACATTTTGTATCCTCATATAATTGTTAATTGTCTGTTTACATGACTGTGACATTTATTTGCAACTATGTGTTCTCATAAGACTTGTTTAAAGTTACAGTACAGAGAAAGCATCCTACATTTGGATATTGATATGTATTTATAAAATATACCATAATACCATCCCCACAAGTTTAATAATACTTACTATTGCAACAGTATTCCATAATAGTTATGTAATAATGAATTTAATAAAATCAAAATAAGCTAACAAGATGGATAAAATAAATGCCATTTTGATTTATATAGACATATTTTTAGTAAGATACGTGCGAATCTAGTCAATCATAATCATAATCGTTATAGCCGTGTTAGAAGTATTTATTTATGTAATAATTTTTATTGTATTGTAGCTATTTATGAATGTTGAACACATGGTGTTCATCATAAGGGCAGACAATAAAAATTGCAAAATGTTACTTTCATAGGTATTTTACGGTCAGCAGAATATATGGACCATTATGAGATGTTAAATAAAAATATTATAAGACGAGTTAATCATGTAAAACATTTACGCTTGTAAGAAAAGTCGAATCTTCAGAACAGTCTTGTATGCTTGACATGACTTATAAAAAAATAGCAAAAAAAAATTTGGTAATAATAGTTAGTACTACACAATCACGCCGATCGCTAGAGTCCTTAAGCTGTGACAGCGTGTTATAAGGGATCAGGCAAAGAATATCTGCAGCTCAACCTATACCGTAACACCCAAACCCAGATCAATCAAGAATGGTGTGTAAGTCTGACACTTCCCACTCTGCATCTTGCCATGAATATAGATAAATATTATTCAGTGCCTGAAAAATATAACAGTTTATTTCAAAATTTTAATTTATAGATATTACGATTTCATAAAAATTATTCATTACTTTTGTATTGTATTAAAAAAGACGATGTTGTAGAGTCAACCTTTTCAATGTGTATTTTTAAATATTGACTATATTATACTAGCAACGATTCGTCCCGGCTTTGTTCAGGTAGATAGAAGTTTCGAAAATAACATATAGCCTATGTTAATCACTGTAACGTAGCTTACCTATAGGTGTAAGAATTTTTAAAATGGGTTGTGTATTTTTTAGTATATCCATTACAGTTTGTAATCAGCAATCAAACAATCAAATATTTTCTCTTTATAATATTAGTGTAGCTTAAAATACCGTCAGTTTCATATAGCCGTAATTATATATCAAATATCAGCCAAATGTACTTAAAAATAGCACTAAAAAAACATGTTGAAAAGAAACATATAAACAAAACTTGGATTTTGATTAATTGTAACACTATTACAGGTCCAAATATTCTGTTGGACAGTCTTTTAGTTTTGTAATTACATTTAATTCAAAATAAATGTTAGAACCAACTTATTTGGGACAGTGTTATGTAATACTGAATCATGAAACAATAGTGTTTGTAATTAATCATATTTGTATAGTGTAAGTGTAATTAAAAAGTATGTACATATGAATCGTAAAGCATAAATTCTAAAGTGTTGTACATAAATTTATTAGAGATTATTTTATTATATTTTGTTTACTATCTGTGATAATGGACGCAGTATTCATCAATTATTAAGATTGTGCTGTAATAACGCACAACATTATTATTATTCTAGAAATTTATGCTATTATTATTTTATTACTATTGTGAAGTGCATATGAAAATAGTATATCTTATAGTATTAATAGGAGATCACTCTCTATTATTTTAAAATTTTCCCTTTTCTAGTGTCTAGATTTAAGAATTAAATATCTTCTAGTTTCTTATTTGATGATTTTAGATCATATGCATCTAGATGGAGTGTTGAATATGAAATGTCCCAAAAATTATCAGCCGAATGTTGGTATTTCATACTGTACAAAACTCTGAAAGTATACCAATACTATAAAATAATAAATATAAATAAAACATTTGTTTGGGTGCTTTAAGTGACCAGGTTAAAATATCTGAAACCGCATTATTTTTAGAAAAGTTAGGTTGCTTCGAAAATCATTCCTTCGAAGACACTATCTAGATGTTATTGATCTAAATTAAATACCAATTAATATTGGAAAGCTCTAATAAGGCTAGTGTGCAGTTATTTAGCACATTGTGGTAAGTCACAAAAATTAATAGTTACGCTGTGTGCTAGCCTATAAATTATATAAATCATTAGGACATTTAAATCTATTACTCAACTAAGATTCTGAAATTTATTTTTTCCTAATATCCAATTTTCCTAGGAAATATTTTGATTTAACTATAGTACATAAATTTCATAATAGAATTAATCTTGAATGTTGTTCTCATATTGAATATCCTAGTTTTGTAGAGCCAAGCTCACTCATAGTATCAATCAAGTGTAGTGTAAGTCATAAATGTGATACCAAATAATAGTAAATTATATAGCAAAGTACAATGTCATTATTTTTGACAAATTGTCCTTTTGTTTTAGCGAAATTAATAAATAATAGTCATTCAGTCATCAATAGATGATTTGATCATTGTGCCAAGTTGTAACTTTTTGAAGTGAATTCTTATGGAATCACCATTTATCAATTTTGTATATTTTTTTGAATATTTGAAATGTATTACTAATATTGGATGTTGTAATATAGAATTGATGTAATATTGTTATAATCTGATATTTGGTTATAGGTAATAAAGTATTCTGTAAGAGGTTCTGTTTTTACATTAAAATAAAACTGACTGTTCTCTGTGTTTTATTTAAAATCTATAAAAAATCATCTTATTTTCTAAAAAACATTAAACTTTGCACTATTTGTATCACCTGAATCAAAAATACTGTAAAAATTTTCATGCCAATCCAATATTTTATCTATATGAATTAATTTTTATGAACAGCAGACTGAGCAGCCAGCAAAAAAAAACTATAATAAATATTTAAAACATTACAAAAAGTATTGCATAAAAATTTCCTTAATCCATTTAATATATTGTCCATCTTAACATCAGGTCCCTTGTGATAGAAAACTGAAAGCCAATAGCCTCTACTCTAGATACATATACAACGACTCCTAAAGGTGCCTGCTGACCCACTTTATCTATAATTTACCACTAAGAAACATTCATAAATATAAATTGTTACACTGTGAAGGAATTTATTAAACAAATAGTTTTCCATTAAAGTGTAGCAGTTAACCAACTATACTATAAAAATTACAAAATGATCAGAAATTGAAATATGATAATAGAAAGTTTATTGTTTATTATGAACTAGATAATTTTATTAGTAGAATTACATTAAAAAATATTGTTTAAGTGCAACAGAAAGTAATGTTAAAATAATAAGTTTAATAATCATACAATCATTAAGAATTCAAAAACAATATATATCATTAATATATTTATTTCGCTTTAAAATAAGCAAAGTTACCAGACTACTATTGGTATTACTATATGTAACATGGAAAACACACATAAATAAAATCAAATGTTAAGATAGTGAATAATGAAATTGCAACTATTTAAAAGTGAGGCAGTGTGCAGCCCGCTACAACACCAAGGTTCTTCAATTTTTTAAATAGCTTCTACAGTGGAGACTGATATTTTTTTTAACAAAATCAGGATAAGAAATAGCTCAGTGTAATTTACATCATGATGTTTTCCAGTATAATAGATAATTCATTGAGTGTCGAGTTCTCTGAAAGGGAGGACAACACAAAATATGTACACACGCAAAGGGCAAGTGAATTTAATATAATTTGTATATGTATATATATATATATATATATATATATATATATATATATATATATACATGTATGTGTGTGTGTGTGTTAAGAGCACCTCTCTTAAATAGGATAGATAGATATATATGAGTGTAACATAACAAGTAGATTGTGTGGAAAGAATGGGAAAAGATAAGTACAAAGACACAAAAATACAAACATTTTAACACCAAGATTATCAAACTGTTTTTATATTAAATATTACTATTGTCATAACTCACATACAGACATTACCTACCTTAGAATATATTTTAAAAACTATTAATTACCATATTTTCTTTCTATTTTTTTTTTCATTGCATTAGGTTTTTGCTAAATGTTATTTTATATAATAAACCTAAATTAATCTTCAAATAATTCAACACCAGAATTATTCTTCATTATATATGGCACACTTGCACATAAGAATTGTGTGTCATTTTGAATTGTTTTCAAGCTATCACTGCCGTCAATACTCTTGTGGAGTAAATCTAATAGTTTCATATCTTTTTTTGCAGTTTCACATATATTTTCTATTGAGGACAGCTCTTCTTCCTCTGCTGTCAGCAATGCTTCCATTAGGACTCCTCTTTCGACTCGTTTTCGTAAATCTGCTACTTCTGCCTTGAGACTCTCGTAGTCTGTATCAGATATATCTTGCAGCTGAGCTTCATCTTCAGGTAAAAGTACATTGGATGGAATCCTAAATATTCTTTCTATTTCGCCATCTATAATATCAAGTGAGGGTTCAGCGCGGTCGCAAAACAACTTTATAAGTTTATCAAACGAATGAGTTATAGTAGCTTTATCTTTATCATTCAATCTCAATGATTCTTTCAAATAAGATTCCATGTCTTTAACTCCATTTGTTATTTTTTGTTCCACCATTTGGCGAATTGCAATTTTTAATCTTTGCGCACCAAAACCAAAATGTTGAGTTTCATATTCTTCGTCAGTACCTCCACTCCAAGGTACGGTGTTGATCATTTTTCTTTTAGTAATTTAAATGTATGGAAGAATAAATGTATAGTTACAACTGACAAGAAATTATTTATTTAAATACAATTAAACGATAAGACAGTTGATTTTTAAATTCAAAACGGCAAATTAAAAAAAAAGCAAACACAGAGCAAGTAATCACTATGTTACACAGATTAGAGAGAGAGAGAGAGAGAGAGACAATGCTACGTTATAAGAGTTGGCACCGGCCTTATATAAACTGAACCTACAAAAAAAAAACATATATGCGTGTTACCTTTTCGATGTAACAACACAATGAAAATTATAAAAAAAAAAATATACATAGTATTGTATCACTATTTTATGATCCTACTCAATATATCGATATCGACGATTATTATAAAATAACCTTTTCTAGGTTATTTTATGGTAGCTGACAATATCGATAATAAACAACATAAAGAATATAATTTAAAATTTTCAAATTTTACTAAAACATGGATAATAAAACAATCACCTATGTTTAGTTACTTTATATTACTCTACTTCAATTTAATATATAAGTTTTGGACAGATGAGTAATATAAATTCTCTGTGGCACATTAAATAATAGTTGAAAGTATTGTATCGAGTCGAAAGTGTATCTTAATCCCCCAAAGGTTAAAATTTATCGTTTTTGTCACTAAGAAAATAAAATCGACATTCTTCGTTCATGTATTATACCCGAAGTTATATGAAATTTTCCGAATGTCCTTAAATTCACGAAATTTAATTTTTTTCAGGCAACATTATCACTAAATTTTTTTTTTTTATCAATAGCCACTAATTGTATATCATTTTGCAGTTTTCAAAACCTTACACAAATTTTTTTTACAATCATTAGTTTCTGGGTAATTGATTGTCAAATTTAAAATTGAATTTTCTGCTTTGATCGACGATAAGTTTGCACCAAATCGTTCTATAGAGCTCAACTAAAGCTCAAATAAAAACTTACAAAATTTTCTAAGAGATTTATCTGGTCGCATTTAACTTTTTTTTAAAAGTCCACAGACCATCTTATAGACGAGCAAATATTTGCAAAATTTTTTTGCGTTGACTGTCGGATGATTACTTAAGAATTACCCACGCTAAAAAAAATACTGTTTACACATGAAAACAACACTTACAGCTTTAATTTTCTTTTTTTTTCTATATGACTATTTCTTTTCGAGTTATTCCTTGTTGAAAATCACCCAAAAATTTGGAGTTTTTTTAATATCCTTTAATTTTTGCGAGTATTTATTTCTTTTTAGTATAAATAATAGTCTTTATTTATTACATAATTTATCATATAACATATTAGTTATTTTAATATAAAAAAAATGTATTTATACGTAAGGTGCTGTTTTTGAAATGGCGCTGTAACTCTATCATGGCGCCTATTCAAGGTGATGGACGCTGTGATGGATTTTTTTTATTGTTGGTAACATAGTTTTATTGAAAAATATTATTCTAACAATAATGTTTCTACTGCCGCAGGTCTGGTAAAAAACGATTTCTTCAATAAACAATCCAATCTTACAATTACAAAGCAAGTAGTCACTAAATTAAAAATCGGCCCTATATTGACGAAAATGGAAAAAAGATATAAACAAACCCCTAAAATACAACCAAATACAGTAATATTTAATATTACAATTATGAAAATAGATTACTTCGTCGATATATTTTTTTTAATTTGCACAGGTTTTTATTTAAAGTGACGTATTTGCATTCAAACTGTGTGCTGTGCTGTGTGTCCTAAGGTGATGTCAATGTTTTATGCTGTGTTAATGTAAATCAGTGACATTCTAAAGTGATTACTTACTCTGTGGTGATATTATATATATATATATATATATATATATATATATATATATCATCTAATATCGCACCACTTTCAAATTTAGAGATAAGGTATTTTTTTTTAGTCTTGTGGAAACAATGCTCAATAGGTCCTGCGAGCATGCGATTTTACTTTGGTTAAATCGTTGTGTGGAGTATTTGTCGGTTCTATTTTTTTCAAATACGTTTGATTTATTATAATATTTATAATACATGAATACTACGCGATGTTTTTGTTAGTATTAAATTCGCAATTGACAATTCCCGCAAAAGATCATCACATCACACGCTGACAGCTTTTAGTTTTTGATCTGTTGTGGTGATTATTATACATTGCTCTGTGTTGTGACACTGTCATCGATTATCTTCTCTAATCTTTGCATTTATTTTGGCGGTTAGTCGATTTTTACTTTTTGTGGATTTTTAATTATTTTATTATTATTTTGATTACAAATTCAACATAAGTATATTATTTGAGCGTTTTTTGTAAGAAATTGGTGGACCTATTACTCTGGTTTCTAAATTTTCAACCTCAAGATGTTTTGACAACAGGGTCCCGACTTAAAATGTAATCGTTCGATTCACTGTGCCTAGGAAGGAGTTTGTTTAGACTGCTCTATCTAAGTACATATTTTTTTTAATATAAAATTTTCATTAGAACTATCTATCTGTACCTATCTTCTACAAAGGACTATTATTATTATTTCAGCCGTTAACTCTCCAATGCTGAACATAAGCTTTCCCTATATGGGGAGTTTTACCAGAAGTTACGTTTGGCAGGCGGGTTAGGAACCGCAATTAGGCCTTTTGGAGATGTTTTAAGAGGGACGCTGCTGTCAATCCCTTGCACTCCCTTAGTCACTTCTTACAACACCCACGGGAAATGAAGGGATGGTCTATTCTATGCCGGAACACAAAGCCACAGAATACGAATATGAAGTCCGTCAGTTCTTCAGGAATTTAACCACAATTGTCAGTAATTTGAAGGTGAGTTATGTATTTGTTATTTATATGTAAATGGACCTATATTGCTTCTCTAATTTTGTTGTACACGAAAATAATCTCAGATATTCAACAGAGTTGTGATTCGTTTCTATGATATTTATCTTATAACACGTTATTTTGACACTTCTGTCTTGTATTTAGTGTTCTCCGTCAAAGACCATAGCCTTATTGTAGATACCTACAGAACAACAGACAACACTAGGCATCTATAGGTATATTTATTAAAAAATATTTACTATGGTACCTGCCGATTTAATCAATTTGGATCCATTGGTGTTGAAGATTTTTTTAATGGATATAAATGGAATGGTTACCATGCCTGCGAGTATACGCTGGCGGGGCACTAGTGAGGGTGATAGGTGAGATGAAAATGCAGTTTAGTTAGCCTGTCATGATGGACTGGTAGACTGCATTACTAACAATCTCTTCCTTCCTGGCGTTAGAGTGATTAACATCGCATTTTCTTTACGTATATAGGTAGGTAATTACTTATGCCAAGCAGTGGCAGAATATATTTCCTCAGTATAAGCATACTATAAACAAAAATAAGGTATAATTGTAAGACTCCAAAAGCTTTTCCTATGTAGTTTTTGTATTAAAAACGTTTTCGAAAACTGACCGCTTGGATGGCTGCAAGTCTGCGAAAATGTATAATATGTAATGATAGGACTATAGGTACTTAATTATTTACTAGATCCAGTTTACCTCTTTAATTTTTTCTCTCTTCTTGGAGACACAGTGACATCGCTCCAGCGTGCTTTACTGATGACCATGAATTTGATGTCAATCCTCGCATGGGTCACACCATTTTGAGTGACGAAACTCAATGTGTACCTACATAGGACACATTTTCATCAAATGTGTAGTTTGCAAGTAGGTACCAGTTTGTTATCTGCTTTCAGAATTTAATCTGTAAATCCATTTGGGTGAGATCCAGTCATCTTTAGCTATTTGAGACGTATATTAATGTGTAAATGCGCATAGGCTAAGGTCTGGGATACGGTCAGTGTACTATATGGTCATTTTTACTTTTTAGTCGTTATTTTTAAAACGTAATCTTAGTGACGTGTTCATATTTTTATAAATTTTAAAACTTAATTTCAAATCTCTGTTTTACTAGAAATCTTGGCACCAGTATCGATCTTCAATTTTGTTTCAGACAATTGGCTTTGCTAATAGATCTCTGGAAAATATAAAAGGTATACTTACATAGTTCACATTTGTTTACGACTTTACATATCTAATTAACTTCCTCATAGCTACAGACGATTTTATAAATTAGTCACATGATTGAGGTTGTGCTATAAATTTTATTTCATTTAAGTATATAATACGATTTGGAGTTTTATAGATATAAAACAAATAATTCCCTATGTCTAAAAACGTTTCTGTATGAGTTTGAGTGCCGGGATAGGTGAATATTAACAGTGACCTGTACCATCATTTCCAGTAATAAATACACCTTGATTGGTTGATCTTCACATGGTTTCTACTGAAAATTATTGTAGTGAATTTGTTAAGGTGGGCCAATTAGTTTGACTTATCTTTGCCTATTATCTGTCGCTGGAAAACCGACAGCGTGTTTGACTGTGTAAATAAAGAAATGAATGGTTGAATGAAATCATTTCACATACTTATTCGTGTTCGCGCATTTGCTTATACATATGTACATATGGCTTAAAGCATACTCAGCTGGTTATGTTTGGGGTGGGGACATAGTGTAGTTACTTACCGGTACCTACAACTATATCTGTTTGGGGGAATGTCTCGTCTCGCGTCATGCTACGCTCGCTGCGAGATCGTTTCGCGGTTCGCAATCCACTTTATAAAGTCAGTCACTCAGTCACAGTAACGACGCGGATTTCGACGAGCGTTGACGTTTGTCGCTTTTGTCTTCACAAACAATAATATAACCTCTAGCAAACTTTCACTCGTATTTAAAGGGACGTTCATTTATACGAATTTTGGACTTGAGGTGTATCTGAATGTTTTGAATATTATTTTGATTTTATTTCGTATATCTACTGTACGGGCGCATATTTCAGTGTTTACATTGATAAAGTTACAAACTTACTATTTTGTTTTAAATTGTGTTAGTCGTGAGTGTTTCGTACATTTCTGACCGTGAACTTGTAACTTGAACTGTTGGTTAGGTTCTGTGGTAAGTTCCTTCATGCATCACAAATTCACAACTTAAACTCTCATTAGTAAAATGAATGTAACAAAATTAGAAGGTATAAGTTGTTGCTAAGAAAGTAGGCACTATGACCTGTAAGTAACTGATTTAAGAAAAAGAGGTTTGTTACTTTACTGTCTTATTTTACAGGCAATGACATC